CTCAGAGGGCCTTAAACAGAGGGGATGCTGGGTAAAAAATAAAAAAAAGTAGTGAGAGGAGGAAAAGCAAAACATCTGTGTGGTAATTGGGCTCCCCTTAGTATTGTAACGCATACATTGACATCTGTTTGATAATTGGCTACCCCGGCTCCTCGCCATGTGTCATGCTAAATGCCGGTTTTATGCAGAAAGAAACAAATGAGGGAGGGGTGGTTAGTGATGGTTGGTAGGGGTGGGGGGGTTAGCATCAAATGTGTGCATCAATAAGAGGGGGAAGGGATTTTCTTTAAAAGCTCCACAGGTCTTTCGTGCTTCACCACCGAATCGCCACTCCTCTAAGGGGGCTGAGCAAAGAGAAGTGTCTTTTTAAAATCTACAAATCGATCCAATTGTCTAACATAAAATAGGGCTGCTCAATTCATCGTATTTTAATCGCAATTACGATTATGGCTTTCAACGATTACGAAAACAACGTAATCGAAATAAAACGATTATTTTTTTAAAATTATTATTATTACTTTTTATTTTTTTTAAATTACTTTTATTTATTTTTGGTTTTTCAGTTGAATTCTACTTAAAGTTCAGGGTAATCAACTGTTAAAAACATACTGTTCACATTTATTTTCTCCAATAAATGGATGTTTTCAAAGTAAATGGATAATCGTTTTTAATAATCGTGATATCAATTATTGACCCAAATAATCGAGATTATGATTTTTGCCATAATCGAGCAGCCCTAACATAAAGCCAAAAAAAAACTACAACGTAATCGTCTAATACACATTATCTAAAGCTTATGTGTTGCTTTAGGAATTTGTGCATTATTTTTGACATGAAATGTGAATGATGTCAAACGAATGGATTGATAACTAATCCAGTAATGGTATCTTAGCCGTATTAAATCAGTATATTCTTATTGCCGTTATTTCTAAGGCATAATGTGAATGCCTTTATTGAGACACTTCATTTCTTTGCATGTAGCATTGATGAACTGTCGTGTAGCAGTGTTTAACTTAAATGTATTCATTTAGGACAAACCCTTTGAGATGAACCATGTCGTTTTCAAGGGGGTCCTAACATATGGTACAGCAAGGCAGTACATACAAACTTACAAAAAGGACCACGTTACAACACAAAAATGAAATATACAAATACAGACATAACCAGTAGTGTTTGAACCAACATCCCACATTTGTATATCCCTCCAAACTGTCACAAAAGCAGTTTTTCCAGGAATAGATTTATGTATAAAAGAAACAAGAACCGCCTGCATTTCCTTTATCTAATCTGGGCCCCTCCCTCTCCAACCCCACCTGCCTGGCTCCGAGGTGTGCATTTAGCCCCGACAGATCAAAAAAATATATAAGTGTCAAGTGATTGTTTACAGCCTCTTGCTCTCAGCCTCGGGGCCTCCGGGTGATTTGAGCCACGGCGCCGCGAGCGATATTGGCTGCTTCCGCAATTTGTTCAGAGCTGTAGAGGGGAGAGGGGAGAGGCCGTCAAATTGCATAGATAAATATGTTGAATAATTGATGCGGCGCATAGTGGGGAGCTGTTTGGGAGCTCAGCAGAGATTGTGATGCCTGTGTGCAGACAGTCTGTCTGTTTTAGACTGCTCTATCCTCGCAGGGTCTAAACATTACAACGCTTCGTCTTTTCCCCCTATAGACGCTCTGAAATCTGCACAATCCTCCATGTGAGGGTTGTGATTCTCTACAAGAATGCATGTCTTAAACTCCTTTCTAAGGGGGTCTTTAGGTATCTCACGAGTCACAATAGATTCTCAATTCAGTACGCCCATTTTGAGATACTTGGTGTACTAATAGTAAAGGCCTTGTGGCAAATGATGTCATGAAAGCAGAGTAAAGTATACGTTCAATTGTTTTTTTAGTATCAAATGATTGCAATAGAGACAAACGGAGACATTTAGTATTGCAAAACTTGCACAAATCAACAAAGCACTCAAGAAAAACAAGTTCTAGGAACACAAAAAATAAGAATAATGCAGATGTTATTAATAACATTGGTAGTATAGGGCCTTTAAATACTGGGAGTGTAATGAATACAAGTCACTATGGATATTATGGGGGTTAAAATATGGCATGAAAGCAGAGTAAAAGTATACGTTTAATTGTTTTTTAAAATATCAAATGGTTGCAATAGCCTCAACACACAAAGGCAAAGACAAACGGAGACATTTAGTCGTGCAAAACTTACACAAATCAACACTGAGCACTCTATTTTTAGGTAGATCAAGAAAAACAAGTTCTAGCCACACAAGAAATAAGAATTATGCAGATTTTATAAGTAGAATTGGTAGTATAGGGCCTTTACATACTGGGAGCGTAATGAATAAAAGTCACTATGGATATTATGGGGGTTAAAAGCCATCCACCCCATGTCAAAATATGGCATGAAAGCAAATGAAAAGTTTTATTTATACAAAGTGATTGCAATGATATAAACACACAAAGCGTAGACATAAGGAAACACGTATTCATGTTACACTTGCACAAATCAAGCCTTAGTAACAAGTTCAAGGTATACAAAAGTTAAAATAATGTCCGTTATATATACAAGAATGGGAGACTTAGGGCCGAACACACTGGTAGCGTAATTAATTTACGTCACCATGAAAATGATGAGGTTAAAAATCATCCATCCCTTTCAAAACATCTATGAGCGGTCCATCATGAGAAGTCCATTAAGCTTCTCAACACACGGAACATCATATACTGTATAAATCTCGACTATTTGGGTTTTTGCAATAGGGTGTCGCCATTGTCATTATGTTGTCTGGAGCTGCATCTCACTTCGGTTGAATGGATTCCTTGCGTCCTTCACTTGCGTCATTTCCCTACGACTAGTCCCTCCCACCAGGGAAGCATGGAAAGACGCAAGGAAACCACGAGAAGCAGGGAAATGAGTTTTAAGAGCAATGGGACGTCCTTTCCTCCGGAGCGTCACGTGAAGCGACGTCCGTTTGTGATGACGCCGCACAGCTGATCGTCTGACAGCAGCCAGATCAGTGCATGCGCTGCATCGTCCACTCAGTGAGCGATACACAGTAAGGGGGCGGGGCGAGTGTCTGAGGATTTCACCGGAGGATGGTCTGGTAGTTCCTCGATTATCGTTACCGTTATCCTCCGGCACAAATAAGGCCACTGGGACGCTCCTCAAGATGGCGCAGACAAATCAACTTCCGGTGATACCGAGACCGAGGAGCGAGGAAATGAAAAATAAGAGAAGTGAGACGCACCCTGTGTCTTTACAAACTGTGTACATGTACATAAATCATGTGTAAATATGATATTGTCTCTTATCGTGTACTGTATGATTTGTAATCTTTTCTGGAACTGCAGGACGGAGTCACATTACCTTACGAGGAAAATAAGGTTTATTGTATCGTATGTAACGAAAATGCTAAATACTTAACTGCGAATACTACTTTGAAAGGTTAGAAGGGAAGGAGTGGTTCGGACTGTGTTGTAAATGTACAATCTTTAATAACTATAAACCTGTTCCTCACAATATGATGGTAAATACTGTCATGGAAAGCACAGAAGAGAGGATTATTACGTAAAATAAGTTTTCCGTACTCGTAATATAATGAATTGTTAAAGTATTTACGATAATAGTTAAGTGTCGAATCAAATACGTCTTTTCTTGCCTCACTTTCGTAACATCAACAAGGACTTTATTGAAGTCAAGACACAGCGAAACAGACATTTAACACAACATCACAAAGAGAGAAATGCCCAAGACCCTGCAAATTAAAAAACAACAGCTTTAGATGTTGCATCAAAAAAGTCCCTCATTTAATGCGCCTTGGGCTAGCTGTCTTTTCTATTTCCAAAACCAATTTCAAAGTGAAATTGGACACGAAACAATGACAAACTGCGATCACACGTGGATGTTTGACACAACGTTTAAAATAATTGATTTTCAGAAGTCTCAGAAGATACGAATCTCGCTGCTAACACACATGTCCTCCTCCTGATTCCACGTCTGCATCATCAGACATTAAGCCGCTACTTTAACAAAAACTAATTCCTAGTAATTCCTTATCATTCCCACCTGGTCTATAATCCCGCAGATCTATCCGAGTGTCGACAGTTTACAGTAATGGGTGAAGGATTACTTTCTCTCGGATGACACACGGGAAGAAGTGTTTTTCACTGAGTCAGGGGGGAAGGCCATTTGAGATGCGAGATGTTCAAGTCCCGTAGGAGAAGACGACGCTCTTCCCCCCTTAATGTGAGAGCTTACGGCGAGCGAGAGACGAAGAGAGACTTGTAAAGGATTTGAGATCCAGAGAAATCCACCGGCAGACTTCCTCTGAAGAATCAGAACCATTTTTCAAAAACAGACGTTCCTCCATCCACGCCTTTGAAAGGAGTGTGGTATTTCACATGCAGAGGTGTTTAGAATAATAGCGGGGAATCACGGCTTTCATGAAGTCTCTTTTCAGCGTTTCAGAGCTTCCTTTCCCGCCGTTTGATTTCCCGGGCCTTGAAGATGCGAGGGCAGAGGGATGTGAAGACTGCTTATCTCCTCCTGACACAGCCAATCACGTCAGGGAATGACAGTCCGAACCCAGCTGATACACCACCCTCCTCTTCCTCATCTTCGTCTCTCATTGTGTCCTTCCTTCTTTTGAAGTCTTCCCAATTCTCCTTCTTCATCTCGTCTCCTCTTCCTGTCTTCCCCTTTTTTCACTCCTGGTTTTCTCTTCCGGAAACACATCAGAGTATGACAGTCTGAACCCAGCTGATGCACCACCCTCCTCTTCCTCATCTTCCTCTCTCATTGTGTCCTTCTTTCTTTTGAAGTCTTCCCAATTCTCCTTCTTCATCTCGTCTCCTCTTCCTCTCTTCCCCTTTTTTCACTCCTGGTTTTCTCTTCCGGAAACACATCAGAGTATGACAGTCTGAACCCAGCTGATGCACCACCCTCCTCTTCCTCATCTTCCTCTCTCATTGTCTCCAGCTTTCTATCCATTCCTTCTTTTGAAAACCTTCCAATTCGGACATTTCTCTTATTTCTCGAACGCTCCTTCTTCATCTTTTCCCATATTTTCTCTCGTCTCCTCTTCTTCTCTCTCCCTTTTTTTACTCCTGGTTTCCTCTTCCGGAAACAGCCAATCACGTCAGAGAGTGACAGTCTGAACCCAGCTGATACAACCCTCCTCTTCCTCATCTTCGTCTCTTTTAATCTCCTGCTTTCTATCCATTCTTTCTTTCCAATTCGGACATTTCCCTTATTTCTCAGACGCTCGATCTTCGTCTTCATTTCCCCATTTTGAGAATTGTACTCCTGGTTTTCTCCTCCTGACACAGCCAATCACGTCAGAGAATGACAGTCCGAACCCAGCTGATACACCACCTTCCTCTTCCTCATCTTCCTCTCTCATTGTCTCCTGCTTTCTTTCCATTCCTTCTTTTGAAATCTTTCCAATTCGGACATTTCTCTTATTTCTCAGAAGCGCCTTCTTCTTAATTTTCCCATTTTCTCTCGTCTCCTCTTCCTCTCCTTCCCTTGGTTTCACTCCTGGTTTCCTCTTACGGAAACAGCCAATCATGTCAGGGAATGACCGTCTGAACCCAGCTGATATACCACCCTCCTCTTCCTCTTCCTCATCTACATCTCCTATTGTCTCCTGCTTTCTATCCATTCCTTCTTTTGAATACTTTTCAATTCTGACATTTCCTTTACTCTCCTTCTTCTTCTCCTTTTCCCATATGTTCTGTCGCCTCCTCTTCCTCTCCTTCCCTCCTTTTCCCCCTGTTTCTCACTGTGTCTGTGCAGTATGGGGTCTTCATCTCCAGCTCTCTCCCTCAGATATAAACGGTGACTCTCACTGATAAACAGGGACAGGAAAGACAGAGCTCACATCTCCACTTCCCCCGCTTCACACTCAGTCAGGGGCTCCGAGCTTTGAGACAGAAAGACAAACAAAAAGGAACTTTGTTGCACCCCTGTGTGCGCTGACTAAATGCCTGTTGGTGTAAACACAATGTTCTCTCTTTGCTCGCTGATGCAGAGGATATTTAAGACGCTGGAAAAACAGCAGTTTCATTCGAGCAATCGACTTAATGTCGTTCAAACACGAGAGATATTAACACCAATTAGCGAGGACTTTCATACGATACAGAACGGGCGTCTTAAACAAAGCTCACAGCCTTCACTTAGACGCATCCTATTGAAGATGAATGACTCTCGTAATGTTAATATGTCTTTGTGGCTTTTACAGAAAAAGATGACACCAGTGAAGCTTTGTCTTCAAGCTGACGCGATTTATCGATTTGTTGATTGGCAAAAATGTATCAAGGACTATTTTTAAAATCATCCTTTTCCCCAAAAAGTAATGGAAACAAAGACCGACATTGTCTTATAAATCTTTTTATTAGTTTTCGCACAGATATCAAACAGACATTTTCAAGACATTACATGTAAAATACTGTGTTTTTTTGTACAGTTGACAAATAAACACGAACTCCATTATCCCGCAATCTCATTCACACAAATATACAAAGGGGGGGGGGGGGGCAAGGAAATAAAAACAAAAATAAATAAAAGTTGAAATCCTTTTTTTTTTCATATTTATTTATAGAAGGACCATGCATACAAAAACATTCATCTCAGCAAAGAGAAGATATGCAATATGCCAGATTATAGCTAATAGCTAATTTCCATCTGTGGTCCTCAGACAGGTTCATAACAATCAATAAACAAATAATAACATTGCATGATCTCTATCAGTCAAACAATTTAAATAGTATTGCAAAGAAAAAGGGGGGGGGGTGCTCTGCTGAGAATGAAGTATTGGGTTCTTCACCAATAGTAAGGGTGTCATGTGGTCCAGATGAGGCTGCCGGGTCTGACATTATTTACGTGCACTTATTTCCTTTCTTCCTCTACTACTAATAGTCAACTCATCTAATAAGAAATTGGCAGAACACAAATGGGCAACTATTCCAAAAAAACATCATTAATTAGTTAAAGACATTTTGTTTAGCCTCTCAAATCTAGATATTTCCTGCCTTTGTCTTTGTTATATGAAAGTGGACATGTTTGTGTTTTAGATAAGACATCACCTTCAACCTGAGGGACTGGGATTCCACATTTTCTGTCATTTGTTGACCACATGATGAACGAGGAAGGGCAGATAAATCAAGAGCGATTCTTCGTCGCAGCCCTTATCTCTTTGTCATACGTCATTGTGAACGGATTATCGTTGGGTTTGGGAGCCGACAAATCACGATATTTAAAAACAGAGAACTGGGATGGACCATTTTCCCTTTCATTGTATACACCTAATTCTCTTTGTCTACATCGTTGTAAACTGATTGTCTTCAAGTTGTAAGTCAAACCAAAAGAGACGTTTTCAGACGTGGTGCTCTGGGAAGTTTCAGTGTTTTTCCCTGACGAGTTAACAACAACAACAACAACAACAACAACATGCAGATTAATCGATAATAAAATCCTCATAAAATAAGATAAGAAGTACTTTATTGATCCCAATTTGCGAAATGTTTGTGTTGCAGCAGCATAAAAAGACATGGCTTTGTAGAATACAAATTACTAGACTAGAAATAAACAAGAAAGTGGAAATTACAAAAAAAATAAAAGCATGTCAGGGATATTAAATATGAAACTGATTGAATAAATGTAGAAAGTGTTTGACAAAGCGCTCAGTGTGCCCCGTCTCTTTCTCCCCTGCAGGATCTGGACTCTGCTTTATACAAATCCCCACCCTTCCCTCCAGCTCTCTCCTGCTGTATGTTTAGCGTCGACCGGAGAGAAAAGAGAGGGGGATGGGAGACGAGAGAGACGAGAGGAGGTGGAGGGAGAGAGGTGGAACGACCGTTTGCTCCCGTCTCGACCACGGGTATTCTTGGGTTGATAATACAGATGTCGATGTTATTGCTTGAGAATACGCGTAGCTGAGCGGAAGCCATCATCGTCGACTGGATGTTAAAACATGACACATTTAAAAGTGAAGAGCCTCCAATGTGATGATGATGATGTTGATGAAGTCCTGAGATGATAATCTACCCAGCAGCCTCTGGAGGAAAGTAAGATCCTTCCAAGCGTGCATCACACACACGACTTGAAGCACTCTGATGATGTACAGAATACTCACCTGCAAATACTACGCTGTGTGTCTAGGGCTTTTATTGTGAAAGGAACGAAGGGACAGAGTGGTAGCCTTGTGTCGTTGTGTTATTTGTAAATATCATTACGAATAAAATGTGGTTATTTCTCAACGTGATTTTTGCGTTAATTGAAAGGAATTCATGACAAAAACAACAGTTTGAAAAAACATGCCTCAGATTAAAAGCAACAAAAACTCCCTTATTGTTTAATGTGCATAAGAAACTCAGGGGGGGTTCATCTTAAAAACTCTGTGGTTAATCCTCCACCTACACGCCCCTCCCCCCTCACGTTTTCTACCCAGCATCCTCTTGGCCTCTGCAGGAAAGTAAGATCCTTCCAAGCGTGCATGACACACCTTTTTAGCTCTGATTGTCCATCCGCTTGACAGATGACTTGAAGCGTGTAATCACTGATGATGAACAGTGTTACAGACATGAGAAATACTATACTGTTTGTCTAGGGCTTTTATTGTGAAAGGAACGAAGGGAAAGCGTGGTTTCCGCATGTCGTTGTGTTGCAATCCTTTATAAATATGAACCTGTTCTGCACAATGTGATTGTTAAAAAAAAAAAGGATATCATTACGAATAAAATGTGGTTATTTCTCAATGTGATTTTTGCGTTCTTGGAAAGGTATTCATGACAAAAACAGCAGTTTGAAAACATATTTAAACCTGCGATTGAAAGCGCCAAACACACCCTTGTTTAATGTGCCTACAAAACTCCAACAAGTCCGACCTATGATGCTGTTTTTATATAAAAAATAAAATGTGCGTCCTTGTAAAAGTAATTATGACAAAAACAACAGTTTGAAAACACATAATGTGCCTTAGGCAAGCTGCCTGTTTATCACTTAAGCCTCTGTTGTTAATCCTCACACTATAGTCTGATGACCCCCCCCCCCCCTCATGTTTTCTACCCAGCATCCTCTTGGTCTCTGCAGGAAAGTAAGATCCTTCCAAGCGTGCACCACACACCTTTTTAGCTCCTGCTTGCTCATCCGCTTGACAGACACTAATGATGTAAAATACTCACCTGTGATCACTATATGTCTAGGGCTTTTATTGTGAAAGGTAAGAAGAAGGAGTGGTACAGACTCGTTGCCTTGTGTCGTTGTGTTACAATCCTTTATAAATATAAACCACAATGTGATGGTAAATACTGTCATAGAAAGCACAGAAAAAACGCATTATTCCGTAAAATAAAATGTGTTTTCCGTACTTGTAATATAAGCGTCCTTGTGAAAGTATTCACGATACGACAATACTTTACCGTCAAATCAATGTTTTCTGGCATCACAGCAGCTCCTTTTCAACAAGGACTTTATTGAAGACAAGATGCGAGAAAACATTAGACATCACGAAGAGAAACATGCTCAGGCAGGGGTGTCAAACTCAATTTCATCGCGGGACACATTAGCATTATGCTTGCACTCAAAGGGCCGGCTGTAACTAAATATTTAATATATATAAAATAATGTCTTATATTACATTATTGCCTCTGAATTGGATTATTATTGAATAGGGTAATAACCAGAGGTGTGGACTCGAGTCACATGACTTGGACTCGAGTCAGACTCGAGTCACCAATTTGATGACTTGAGACTCGACTTGACAAAATCACAAAACACTTGCGACTCGACTTGGACTCGAACACCAATGACTCGGGACTTGACTTGGACTTGAGCCTTCTGACTTGAGGTGACTTGATACTTTAATTCAGAGGTCTCCAACACGCCGATCGCGAGCTGCCGTTAGAAGAGCAGACTCCAGTCGGGGAGAGCAGAATCTTCAGCCGCTCCTACTCTTGCTGAGAATCCTTGCAGGCAGGGGCGGGTCTTTATTTAGCTGGGCCACCATGCGGCCAATCATATGCGAGGACACACTAGGATCATACCATTATGTGAAAGAAGGGTGGGGGGCACAGCAGGTGTAGTGCTATAGGCCAGCTGCACAGAGCGACGGGGAGACGGATTTAAATGCAAGTGCGTCGGAAAAAGTCAAGAAATTAGCGAAAACCGAAAAGAAGCAGCATCTGGCTGCTTTTCAATGATATGGAGAAAGCAAAGCTGAGTGCAGGATTTGTAAAATGAAAATAACCTTTTTTGGTTACCTTTATTTTGGTAACCACTCAGGATTTACTGTCAGAGGTGGGAGAAGTTCAGATCTTGTACTTGAGTACAAAAGTACAAGAGTGTAGGAATACAATAAAAAGTCCTGCATTCAAAATGTTACAAGTAAAAGTACAAAAGTATTAGCATCAAAATATAGTTAAAGTACCACCTGCAGAGGGATGTAGATGCAGGTGTTCTCTTTCCCATAGAGACCGCCTGGCTGCACATTATCCCTTGCATAGAGATAGATTGTGGGTCCCTTACAACATGTTGTACACAGTGGAAATAAACATTCTGGTTACCTCAACATCAGGGATCTTATCCATTAAACTCCTTCTGAATCAAACCGTCACGGTAGCCTAACCTTACTGATACCTCTTAAATTAGAAAATAAAAATGATTATTAAATTATGAATGTGACTAATAAAGAGCAATTTGATTATTAAGTATTATTCTGTTGATCGATGTCATTACATTTGGTGAAAAACACATAATGACTTGTTTATGACTCGTTTTGTCAAAGTTTAGGACTTGACTTGACTTGAACTTGCCCATCTTGACTTGAGACTCGACTTGAACTTGCCCATCTTGACTTGAGACTCGACTTGAACTTGCCCATCTTGACTTGAGACTCGACTTGGACTTGCCCATCTTGACTTGAGACTCGACTTGGACTTGCCCATCTTGACTTGAGACTCGACTTGGACTTGAGCGCAAAGAATTGAGACTTGACTCGGACTTGCAAAACAATGACTTGGTCCCACCTCTGGTAATAACTTCGTAATTAACTACGTCTGAAAGCAGAAGTCCACGGCAAATAATTGCAAGTCTCTTCAGTGCGCATGTCACAAAACGAGATACATTGTGGGACATGTAGTTTATGGGCAACGTGCTTCTGTAAAGTGGCATGTAAACGTATTATAATCTTTGCAAGCTCTTGCGGGGCCACATAAAATGAAGTCGCGGGCCGGATTTGGCCCCCACACCCCTGCTCTAACGTCAATCAAAAAGAAAAACAACAGCTTTCAAATATATATTGAATTGCATCAAAAAATGTCCCTCATTGTTTAATGTGCCCTTGGCTAGCTGCCTTTCTTATTTCCTAAACCTTGTGTCGTTATTGTACAAAGAAATGACGCGTTTGAAGCGATTAAAAGCAAAGAAAAAGCGCCTTTGTTGTGTAATGTGCCTAATAAACACGGGGTGATGTTAATCCTCCACCTACAAGTCCTACTGATGATCCATTCCTTACCCTCAATGTGTTCTACCAGCATCCTCTTGGCCTCTGCAGGAAAGTAAGATCCTTCCAACCGTGCATGACACACCTTTTTAGCTCTGATTGTCCATCCGCTTGACAGATGACTTGAAGCGTGTAATCACTGATGATGAACAGTGTTACAGACATGAGAAATACTATACTGTTTGTCTAGGGCTTTTATTGTGAAAGGAACGAAGGGAAAGCGTGGTTTCCGCATGTCGTTGTGTTGCAATCCTTTATAAATATGAACCTGTTCTGCACAATGTGATTGTTAAAAAAAAAAGGATATCATTACGAATAAAATGTGGTTATTTCTCAATGTGATTTTTGCGTTCTTGGAAAGGTATTCATGACAAAAACAGCAGTTTGAAAACATATTTAAACCTGCGATTGAAAGCGCCAAACACACCCTTGTTTAATGTGCCTACAAAACTCCAACAAGTCCGACCTGTTTTTATATAAAAAATAAAATGTGCGTCCTTGTAAAAGTAATTATGACAAAAACAACAGTTTGAAAACACATAATGTGCCTTAGGCAAGCTGCCTGTTTATCACTTAAGCCTCTGTTGTCCTCACACTACAAGTCTTACTGATGATTCCCCCCCCCCCCCCCCCCATCATGTTTTCTACCCAGCATCCTCTTGGCCTTTGCAGGAAAGTAAGATCCTTCCAAGCGTGCACCACACACCTTTTTAGCTCCTGATTGTTCATCCGCTTGACAGATGCCCTTATCAGAAGAGGGGAATCCAATAAGTGCACATGGCGGATGGGAGTTGGTGTGGGGGGGGGTTGTGTTGGGGGGTTTGTTGGGAGCTATTGGGGGGGGGGGTTGGTAGAAAGACACGACTCTTCACGACAGGCCAGAAGGTCCAGCAGTCCTGTGGCTCGCTGAGTATAAGGTCACAGTCAAAGAGCAAATCCAATATCCAGACGATCCAGACAGGCTGGCGGGCAGGTAGGGCGGGAAGGCATTTAGAAAGTCAGAGATAAATCTTAGTCGACTCTCAGCTGTTCTCTGAGAGGAGGGGGACGAGAAAACTGAGACAATGAGACGAACTGGGAGCAAACACACACACGGAGAGTCTAGATTCATTGGTAGAAATGATGTGAGAAAAATATCACTCGTCACCGGCTTGAGCTTCAATCTCAGGATCCATGTATTTGTGGTCCTCTCCAGAATGGAAGTCATCACATACAGAGCATCAACTAGTTCCTGAGCAGTGTCCTTCACATGCTGATATCCAAGAGAGGGAGTTACACAGTCACAAGATGGAGGAATACCAGTTGTTGTAGGTAATCATACATCCTGTCACGAACAAAATACTGACTTTTTTCTCAAAATGCAGACTTTTTCTCAAAATCAGGATTCTTTTTTTTGATATCTCAAATTTCAGATGTTTCCTCAAAATCTCAAGATTCTGACATTCTCTCAAAATTCTGACTTTTTTTCTCAAAATCTGTAATTTTTCTCAAAATGTGGTCTTTTTTCAAAAAATCTCAAAATCCTGACTTTTTTTCTAAAAATCAAAAAATTCTGTATTTTTTCCAAAAAATCTTGTCTTTTTTTCTAAAAATCTCAAATACTGTCTTTTTCTAAAAATCTAAAAATCCTGTATTTTTTAAAAATCTCAAAATTCTGTCTTTTCTAAAAAATCCTGACTTTTTACTCAAAATCTCAAATGTTTGTATTTTTTCTCAAAAGTCTTTTTCTTAATACTTAACGTTAATAATCTCTCGTCACCGGCTTGAGCTTGAAAACAGGATCCATGTATTTGTGATC